TCTAGTCTATCAGCTAAAAACTAGCGACGGATTGTGTACTTTGAGCGAAAATCAACATAAATAAGCTTGAGCTGTGCTTTTATTCCCATGTTATAGCGTTTTTAAGTACCCAGGAAGGTGGCGTATTAGAAATAAGTTGACAGATTTTTCAAAATCCTTTTTTTTTATGTCGTCCAGTAATGTGGCACTATCCCCAAACTTTCAGAATATGACTTTTAGTGAGCTAGTTAAAGATACAACAAACCATAGTAGTTACTAATGGACAAGTATTATTTTTATGTGTGCTACACATGCCTGTAAGCACGCATGTTTGATTATCTAAAACTCAAAACTTTATTTTCAATCACAATATTTATTAATTTTTATGCAAGTCTATAAAAACCTAATAAAAACGTTAAAATGACATGTATTTTTTGTTCTCATACACAAACGACCTGGACAGCGGTAAATCTATAGATTTACAACGCTAAAATCAGGGATTCGATCCTCCTCGGTGAACACATCAGACAGCCCGATGTGGCTTTGCTATAAGAAACACACACACAAACGCCCTGTGAGAAACCAGCACTGTAATTTAATAGTTAAGTATATTAATATATTTTTGTTCTCATACACAAACGCCCTGGACAGCGGTAAATCTATAGATTTACAACGCTAAAATTAGGGGTCGATCCCCCTCTGTGAACACATGACAGCCCGATGTGGCTTTGCTATAAGAAACACACACACAAACGCCCTGTGGAAAACCAGCACTGTAACTTAATAGTTAAGTATATTAATCTCAAAAATTACCTTTTTCTTCACAGCAAACATTTGTATTGTTACGTCTCCGTTTGTTAATTGATTTTCCGTAACTTCGTTCCCACGAAACTTTAGCGACACAAGTCCTTGCTTAATAAAACTGGTTTGTTCTTTCCGAATACATTTTTACGATACACTTATTTTCAACAGTCGCGCTATAACAAACTATAATAACGACGTTAACTTCAACAATACGTCTCTCTCTGACTGCAGTTCAATTACTCATTACCTACACACACATTATTCCGTCACGTTGTCATCCTCTTATATATACCAGACCCCCCCCCCCACCCCCACACACACACTAGAGCACTCCCGAAGGAACGGGATAGTTCTAGAAAGCAGGTGGCGTGGCAATAGTCACGTAATCTCGCTGACGCAACAGTATTATCTTCGATGACGAGGAACCCACTTTGAGACTAATAATGGATGGAGACGGCTTGAATGGGTAATGAAGAAAAACTTTAATATAACAGCAAATGTACAACGTTTCCCCCAAGGTTTGTTTTCATCAAAAACCTTTCCAAAACTTGTTCATTTTCTTTTTTTTTT